TTTTATTACACTTAACTCATATAATAATATTAATGTGACTTAAGCTCTGTTTGTTTGAACGTGTCGTAAAATGTTTACGAAGAAAAAAAATATTAAAATTTAACAAAAAAAACGTATCCATCAATTTTCGGCAAGTTATTTTACATGTTCCGTCCGGTGAACTCGACCTCAATCTCGACGTAAACCTTTGTCACACATTGACAAAGTAAAAATAAAAGAATATTTTACCTAAAAATATATATATTTTTTAAAAAGAATATTTTACAATAAAACAAACGGAGTATTAGAGAGGATTTTAATTCCCTATTTTTGTCTCAATTTTATTATGTTGACGATGACATAATAGTAGTTGTTATAGGGGTGCTTTTGCCATAAAGTTGTATCTAACAATCATTAAACATTGATCAATAACAGGTTAATGAGCGTGGAGGGACTTGGAAATCTTCATAGAAGAGAGTTCCTATAATCATAGAAGACAGCGCCTATAATTGTTGCAAATATGGTTCGTAAAGATTGAAGATTATGGGCAGGCATAGAAATTCCCCTGCTTAGAGTTAGGGACCAAGAGAGATCATGAGAAATTGGCCTCCGTTTATTTAAAAAAATAATGCAAGGTAAAATTACTATTTTAGATAATTCCAAAACTTTCTCTCTTTACAATGGCCCTGGAAAACCTTAATTTTGGGAATACTGATAAGAGGGGTGGGCGTGCTAAATTAAAAAAAAAAAAGACTAATTAGCTTCAAAACATTGATTTAGCATGGCCACCCCCTTTGGGTCCTTTATAGCGATGGTGTAATTTTTTAATAATTTTAATGAGGGTGATAGTGCAATTTTGTAAGTATATTGATATATATCAAATATATAAATTAATAGAGTATACTATATATATATATATATATATATTTCAGTGGGAGAAATTGCCCCCACTGAGTTGTGAATGGCTCCATCCCTGCGTTCTAGGTTAACTTTGCTTATACTTTGGAGAGAAATGTTTTAAAAAATTGACCATAATGTGTATCTCATTTCTTCTCATTTATGAGACTAAAAATGATTTATATGTAATTTTAAACTACGTTGAGCACATAATTCGTACTTTGGAAACAAAAATATGAGAGAAATTTAGTCTTTTATCAATAGTGTGACTCTCCACATTCGTTCGAAGAAAAAGTTCATGGCATTTATATGTGTGGACACCTTAACTGTGTAGACGTATTTTGACAAAAAACTACGAACACAATGTGCAAAACAGATAACATCTATATAGGTTAGGGGCACATCCCATCCAATATTTTCAAGTTGAAGAAATTAAAATATTTAAACTAAATTTCCTCAAATTTCAATTCCAAGGCACCACTAATTCAATACTCCCATACATAACATTATTGAATTTTCATCTTCACGCAACCTTTTGTGTCAGCCCCTGTTAGGGAGGTTCTAGCCTGTGATTTTGCTTGATAATCATCAACTGAAAATGGTGGTATAAGAGCTTTGTAATGGTACATGAGGTCATTGTGTTTGATAAACCTTACTAACATTGAACTAGTTGATCAGGCATATGATTAACTCTATTTTCTGGGTAATTTTTGACAATCACTTCTAAGTTTCCAACCATTAAGTGATGACTCTTAACAAGCCATTGCAAGAATTTATTTATTGCACTAGCAAAACTCCAAGAAAGACAAGTACACATTCATCACACAATTCCCTCTTCTACTCTATTCACTGATTTTGTGTTGCTCTCTGCTTTTGTAATTCAAAGGACCTATTTTCTACATACACACATACATTAAAAAAATATATATATATATATACACATACTAGCTCCCTCTTCAGCCAGAAAAAAAAAAAAAAAAACAATAAAAAACAAAAAAAAAAAGATCAAAGAGTTGGAGCTACATGACACCTATCAAAAATTAAGAAAACCATTGAGGCACCAAATATGGAAATGGAGACTCCCATCCAGAGGCATACACTCAATTCTTGATAAACCACAGCAAAGCCTATCAAACCCTCCCCTTTGCAGACGAGAGAAACTCCAAAATCGGAATTTCAGAAAGTCAATGTAGTCAAGGCAAAGCAGGTGCCAGACCCTGAAGCAGAATTTGCATAATCGGAATCCGATTTCCCAAATTTTTGTTGAGTCCACCGAGACAAAAGAGATCTGTGACTGGGTATTTGATGAGCTTGTATCAACAAGAAGAGTGTAGACCCGAACAGTTGTTCCAAATTTGACAATGTTTACAATTTATCTACTAAAACAGCCAGCAATTGCATGTGTATTTTTAAAGATACATGCTAATTCTTAAACTTGTATGAGGTAATTCATGTAACAAATGTCCGAAGACTCGTTAAATTGTAAAAGGATAACGTTGAACATGCTTCCAAAAGCTGCATTGCAAAACATCTGCAAAATGCAGGTTATGTTTGCTTAGAACTACTTAGGCACCTCCTGAGTAAATTTTTCCTTCCTCCGCTAGGGTAGGTTTTGACACCATTCGGTCTAGTGATCATGACAGCTATGGTCGATACAAAATGGAAAACTTGTATTATCATCCTTTGTGTGTGTGTGTGTGTGTGTAAAGATTAGTCAAATACAAACCTGTTCTCAAACATACCTAAGTGGGGGAGGACCATTTGATGATGATGAAAGAGACCCCCATTGCTTCCCCGCAAAGGAAGGGATGGTTTAACCGAAAAATCAAAAAAGCAGGTGGGGCTTGTGATCTTTGTTTATGTTGATGCATTGAAAAAGCTTTCCTGATATAGAGAAGTTGAAATTAGTTTCATCTTTTGTAGGGCATCATTTTTGTGAATGAGACCAAGATGCTTTCAACATAAAGGATACTGAAGCTGGTGGATTGGAAGCCCCTCCTCCACCTCAAAATCCTTCAAAAGTCCGTTTCTTAAAATGACCTCCAAAAGACTTTCCTATACTGTTCCACTGTCATGGCATGTTTCTACTTTAGGTAGTGCTTGTGCAATATCCAGCAACAATGTCCCACATATCGAATCAGAGAGGCTCGACTTGTTGCTTCTTGAATCAGTCAGAAAACAAAAGCTCCCCTAAACCCTATCTAACGGTGTGGTGGGTCATTTGTATAGGGACATTCATGGCGACTCTTGCTCCATAATTTTTTGCTTTCATTTCGAAGGAATTGCATCCCTTTGAATTCTGAGAGAGACATAAATGTCAATTTGAGATTTGTAATTGAGTAACTGGATGAACATTATGTTCCCTATTTTCTAAGTAACTGTATTCAGCATTGTTTTACTAAGCCATGTGTTAGTGTCCTGAACATCCCAATTGAGAGTTCTAGAGTTATGTATCACTACTCAACAAAAAGTTGTCTAACTATTTACCATTGTCCTTGTCCGGTGTCATCAATCTGTCAAATAGAAACAGCTCTGCAAACAAAAATTGCCCTCAATCAGGTACATGTGGAGGCATGGCTATGCAGATTAAGATTTTCGTCAAAAAACTAAAGCGTTCCAAATTTAAAGAATGAATATCCCACTTTGCTACAAAAAAATTTCCAATCAATCAAGGTGCAACAGAATGTCCGCCAATTTTTCTACCAATATTGTTATGTCTTTGTCACAAATTTGTCCAACAGCAGCATCATAATCAAAATCACGATTTTATATTTATGCATATATGAAAATGTTGCATCATTTCTAGTAAGTAGTAACCAAAGCCAAAAATGAGAAAGGAATAACAATCGAACAAGCCTGTGAAGTAAGTCAGCAAATTTCTTGGACTACCTTGGTTTAGTGTTTAAAGTTGAATAATACAAATGATGATGCCCAGAAAATGGGTGAAAAGTCTGCAGCCTTTCAAGGGATAATATGTTGATGTGTTTTAGTGTTTGTTGATATCAATACTGTCACAGCCTACATCTCTAACAAACTGTTTGGACCTACCGTAAAACGGTGCCCACCTAAACTTTCCTTTATCAATAATAGTGAAGAAGCAAGTTAAACATTGCCTCTGGTTAAAAGAAATGGCAAGCAAAGAGCCAAAGACTAGCTTAACAGACATCCATTCCATTATTCCCCTTCCCCACCATGAATTGTAATATCACGCGTTGGTTCGTAGCCTGAGGTCAATAAGCCTTCTCTCTCTCTATAGATATATATGTGCGTGTGTGTGTGTGTGTGTGTGCAAACAAATATATAAAAATGCAAACGTGTGTTAATCAGTTAATATGAAGAGACAATAATGGAAAAGTTGTGGAGAGTTTCTTTTGAAAGTCAAAAAAAGTAAAAAAAGAAAGCCAGGAATCCAGTAAAAGTAGTAGAAACTAGGTGAAGTGTAAAGGGATTCTTTATGTCTTAATTTCATTTTATTCCAAAAAGAGGCTTCTTCTGAGTTTAGTAAATAAAAAGGGCGCCATTTGAATTGTGTACAAGTTAATGTGGAGAGAGAGAATGAGAGAAAATGGAATATACTGTTACTGAATACCAACTCCTTGATCAATCAACTTATCAAAGCAAATTGAATGAAACTCACTCTTCATTTAGTGTCCCAAATGACTCCAATTTAAGGTTTTATGATATCAATATTACCTCTGCGGCTCTTCCTTTGTGTGATTAAAGATCAGCATTCTGATCCAGCAAATAACAAAATCCCTTTATCAATATATCAAGTACATAGTCTCTAAGGAACCTGAACCACATTAAATAAAATAAAAAGAAAAAGCATTAATATACCATCCACATAATCAACCTTCTAGAATATTTACTGCTGCTCTTATTTTTGTTCTCTCTCTTTTTTCAAACGTTGGGGTGAAAAGGATAGGAATCCTACAATAAATAAAAAAAATTTAAATAAATAAAAAGCAGTGAGAAATGAACCACAGGAATTCAATTCAGGAAGAACTGCAGGCTCACTAATAAAACCATAATTATCTGAATTTTTATATTTTGGAAGCATTCAAGAAATTTCCAAAATTACTACAATTTCCAACAGTTACTTCTTTTCATAACTTGGAATCACTTGGAATCACCAACACTTCTAAAGGATGTCTTCCCCTCCTTCCCCCTTCACAGAGCTCAGGTTTTACTACCATAAAGAGAGAGAGAGAGCTGAAATGGCTGCAAAGCTCCATTCATGTAACCATGCAGATGAGGACTACATAGATATGGAAGTCAGTTTACACTCCCAATTCTTCTGCCATCCCATAATCTCTTCTCCACACCCCAGAGAATTTGAGTTCCAAATGTTCTCAAGCGCCTTAGAGAGAGAAACCACAACTTCCCCAGCTGATGAACTCTTCTACAAAGGAAAGCTCCTTCCCCTTCACCTTCCACCACGTTTTCAAATGGTCGAAAAACTCCTCCAGATCTCCACCTCCTATGATCACAAAACAGATACCTTTCAAGAATTTTTCAGTACTCCATTAACCACTACTACCACCACCACACCTACAATCAATACCCCATTTGAATCCTGCAATATCTCACCTTCTGAATCTTGCCATGTTAGTAAAGAACTGAATCCAGATGAATATTTCTTCGAGTATTCAACTGAACTAAGCCGTTCAATTGGTGACAACCAGAAGAAGTCCAGGACCAGAAAGCTTAAGCTGGTCAAGCATTTTTCACTTGGTTCAAAGCTGAAGTCTTTGTTTAGGAAATCTGGTTGTTCAGATGAGTCTTGCAAATCAGGCGCAAGAAATGTAGAGGAAGGATCGATTCTAAAGATCGAGGAGTATTTAAACAAGTATGTAAATGTAGCAAAGAGGGCTCCATTCGGACAAATTCAGAAAGACAAATACCATATGCCAGTGACTGCCACAAGGAGCTTCAACAAAGAGCAGATTGATGCAGATGGTAGTGGTCATTGTAGGAGCTCATTCTCAGGGGCAATCAAAACGCTGTTAAAGACTAAGTCTTCGTCTTCATCTGGCTCTTCTTCATCTTCAGGCTCGAGTAATTCACATGATTTCAACAAGCAGTTTCCAAACAGAAGCAGCAGTGTGAATTCAGAGGTTGAGAATCCAATTCAGGGAGCGATTGCTTATTGCAAAAGCTCTCAGCAGCAGTACTCAAGATAGACTGTCAGCGAAGTTGGGTTTCACTCGCTGTCAGCTTCCAAAATAGTCTTCGAGGATCAAGAAACACTAGGACTTTGCAAGGGTTGAAGTTGTTAAAGAAAGATGAGGAAAACAAGGGTTGAAGACCAGAGAGTGAAGAGGGGAGAGACAGAAACAAGGACAAGCATAAATTTTGGTTGGTTTATAATGTGTTTCTTTTCCTTGCATAATCTGGTGTGATGTTTATCATGATTCAGTGTAAAATTGTGCCGAGCAGGGCTGGCTCTGTACTGTTAAATCAGACCATCTTGTGGAAGTTTATAAAAATAGCACATAAAATTTTCTCTCTTCAACAAAATAATTCACAACATGAAAGTAATTTATGCAAGATATTTTCAAAGTTCAATTCAGGAAGAACTCAGAAATTTTCTGTGATTGATGCTTTTTTATGTTTCATCCATCTAATGATCAGTAGTAGTTTCCTAATGACTAAAATCTTAGTACCATCTGTCCAGAAAGACACCTGGGCATGCTTCAAAGGAAAAATATCCTCTTTGAACAAAATTCCTTTGATGGATTTAACCAAAATTTCAATGAGCCAATAAATATAAATGCAATAATTTTCATCCTTGTAGGCACAGGGACTAACTATGCATTGTTCAGTTTCAAAAGAAATACAGAGAAAGGATAAGAATAAGAACAGTGAAAAAACAAAAGCTAGAATCCTTCTGATCCTTACAATATCATGCCAATCATTCCAGGGAGGTTTGCCATCAAGTTCCATTTGTCAGGTGCACTGCTCAGAAAATCTGCCGATAGGAGGGTGTTATTGCCCCATCTACCCTGAAATAGATCATACTGAGTGTAGGATTTATCATGTTCAGTACAACCTAAGGTTGGGGACAAATTCAACAAAATTAAAACAAATGAATAATTTACAGAATTATCAGTAATTTTCCGTTTGGTCTTCAAGAAAACAAATGGAAAAGAGAGAAAAACAACCTAAAAAAAAAAGATGGATCTTATGTTTTATAGTGTTTTGGTTTCTGAAATATAATACTCATCTTGTTAATCCAACTGAATGTGCTAAGGTCAGAGGATTGAACTGAAGGTTTCTTTTTTTATTACAGAGATTCTTTTTACTCTTTTGTCCTTCTGGGTTCAGAGAGGAGGTGATTGTCTCACTCCACAGTGAAAAATTATGACCTAAAACAGGAAGAATATACCTTCCAATATTTTCAATTAATGACTCATTAGTAAGCATGTAGTATCTTCCACTCCAAACTAAGGATCAACCATCCTGAAATACTCTATATGCAAATCCAATCACTGTCATCCCAGTCTCAAGGACATCCACTTTACTTTTGAATGACAAATGAGAACAGAAAACAGATGTTAATCTTCAAGCCACCTAATTATAATATACATTACTGACCTTAAGGGGTAGTATCTGGCTAAGAAGACAACAATGCTATAGCAACCATAAATTAATTTTAAAACACCACAGGTTAGGCAAAGATAAATATCAAATTGATTCGACTAATAAAAGAATTAACAGAAATAAAATCATGATTGTGATTGTAAGAACACCTTTCTGCCTCTTAACAACCTCCAAGAGACACCTGCACACATTAAATATGTGACTGTAAATTTACTTTAGAGTGAAATGATTCCTAACTGGGGGGAACTGACAAGCATATAACAAGAAAACATTTACCCACCCAACTTCCATGGATGTCTATACAATGGAAGGAGGAAAGACCAGTCTTCACAAATTAGATAGAGTTTAATCATTGTTATTACATCGAAATGTACTTTTTTTTTGTTCAAATTTTAAGATGGCCTTAAAAGTGCATGAAAATGTAAAAAGTACTTTATCACAACATCTAACAGTCAGGTTAGTAAGAGATTAGAAAAGTAAATTATAGAATTTGAGTACTTCAAGTCCATCTACCTCATGATTGCATATCTCACTTTTCAGCCACTCATGCAAACTTGATAAGCTACTGATCAATACTTGCAACAAATGACCCCATAAATCTACATGACTACAGACTTACAATATTTGTATAACTGTTCTGTGAATAATATAGCCTTTAAAATGTTGCACTTGTTTAGAAGAAAGATGACATAATATGGGGTAGTCATTAGACATAATTAAGTACTGAGTTTGATCTTGAAAGGCACTAAGTTCATTATATTGTAATGAATGTTCTGAATCAATAATATTATAAAACTAAATATGTGAGGGGTATATTTAGTCCACTAGGCTACGGGGAGGAAGAACTTTACTTCTTTTCCATTTCCATTCCTGTTCAAACTTTAGATAATTAGCTTTATGAAACCAGGTTTCAAAGTTCAGTGAGGCTCATGCAACTAAATCACATACCGGACATGCAAATGAATGAGCTTTTCGTCCATGACCAAGCCATAAATATTTTTTTTTTGTAGCATTTCCAAGATCAGCGCATGAAAGTAATATTTCTTGCTTACAGTTACAGCAACATAAAATGTGAACAAAATGACAGAATCCAGTGCACAAAGTGGATTTGTCATTCTTCATATATATTACCAATATAAAACACATGTACATACTATATACATTAACATTCCATTTAACAACTAGGTTTTTCCACAAGAAAAGAAAAAAATTATCTACCTTATTAAAACAAAATAGATTGTAGTATAACTGCTACAAATAAAGAAAAGGCACCACTGTATCATTCCAGGAAAATAACATAAAATCTTAGTTATTTGTTTGCAGATACAATTCTGACTGCAAAAAATTTTCACCAAAAATTTCTCCACCATTTGTTCTAACCACATCATTAGTCAGGTGTCCAACTTATAAATTGGGGTAAAATGAGATTGAAAGATGAATGCCTGTTCAATTCACTTCTTCCAGCCATATATATTACAAGTGAAAATTAAAATAAGAGCAATCCTTCGAGGTAGCAACTGCACAAGTTTTCTATTTTTCTCTGGAGATTCTTCCTTTTCTTTATAAATGCACAGCAGATAGTAGCCTTTGTCTTGAAAGTAGACTGCAGATACCATTCTCTAAGTTTAGTTCCGCTATTAAACAAATTGAAATGCTGAATAAACAGAGAGAATAAAAAAGAATAAGACTGACAGACTAATTGTTAACGTGCAGACAAGTCCAAAAATATGCTGAAACTCTTTCTCCACTCCATGTTAGATATGCTAGCATAGTGTTGGAGCACAGTAGACGAGATATTGGCCTTAGTTTGGAGTAAGGTTTGGCCATTTTAATTGGAGGATAAGGTCTGCAGACTACAGTACCTAAAGCCCAAAGATTGGATTCAATGGAGAATGAATCCGGCAACCATTGTTAGAGTGTAAAGTAATGCTAAAATACTTCCCTTCCAAAAGGGTGTCTGTGGCCACATTGGACCTGGTCATCTAAATTTCAGTAAATTTAGATTGTCTTCAGGAAATTCAAGTAGTGGAAATTTCAGAAATAATGGAAGAATATCATCATGGATTTCATTAATTCTTTTCATTTTCTTTTCTCTTGCCACATCAGAAAATCCTCTCAGTTTCCTCTTTATATCCTGTTGTCATTTATTAACAAATTAAAACCTAACAATTACAACAATAATAGTGATGAAGATGAAGGAAAGGACAAAACATAATGGCAAAAAGATTCAAAATCTATTTACATTTATATAACTTCAGGTAGACATAAAAAAACTCCAAAGACAACTGAACTATCACTAGTAACCAGTCTGGAACCAAACAACCATAGCGTAGATGTGGTTGCAAAATTTCCAGATAGGAACATCTCAGTTTGTACATTTACTTATCAAGAAGAGTTGGCAGCCCTACAAAATCTGAAATGCAAGGACCTCAGCTTTACTTGACTTGCATCAAATTAAATATTGTATCCACTCTCTTCCTGTGATGCACTTCCTATCAAAGGGGAAAATAATAAAAATAGAAGAAACAAGGAAGATCTAGCTACGCAATCCGGATGTTGAAGGAATCCAGGAATATTGAACTCATTTGCAGGTGCAGATAGCCAGGCATATACGGCAATAGAATAAGAACTCATTCGAGAATGTAGTAACTGTTCTTTTAAATAATCCATTTTCAAGACTGCTTTTTGTTAATAAGACCCATCTCCTGCTCCAGCAAATAGAATGAACAAAAAAGAAGGAAGAAAATTTGATGTGATTAGAAATAGTTCAAAACCGAATTCATTTACAGCTGCTATTCAAGTAACGCCGAACTGTATAAAGCATAAACATCAAGAGTGGAACAAAAAACTATTACTTAATTACATTCAGGAGGTGAGACAGGTGATTGCAACCTGACTATGATCTGCCACAAAAAGGATACGATGGCATAAGAGGTTATATTCCTCAAAGGGCCGACAATTCAAACTACATGGATATATAGATAAACACACACACACACACCATAATACCTTTGTCTTCTCATTTTTCCCAATATAATCACATAATTGGTTACCCCTCAGGAGCTGTTTTCCTGCCCACCAAAGCTGGGTTCTATCCTCTTGAAGAAGTTCCAAGTCTGAGAATTCCACATTTTCATGCCATACATCAATGGTTTCTTGTCATCAGTGTTGAGAATATATTTATAAAAAATAAGGATAACTAAATATATATATATATATAGTACACGCATCATAAACTGGATGCAAGATTAAAAGATTTGATGTATAGAAAGAAGTATCAACTGATACATTTCAGTATTGACATGGCCTGATCCAAATTTACAGTCCAAAACACAAGCCAGCGTCTGGAACAAATTGTCCCAGTATTAAAGAATACTTGCGTATTGATTTTTCTAATACATATGAATGCAGGCTAGGCCTTGGCTCAAGAGACAAAGGGTGCAGTGGGCAGCCAAAGAAAAGATTTAGTGAGTTCATTAACACATACGATGGTCAAACAATTCAAAATAACATAACAATCTCCTAATTATTTATAATACACTAGTGTGATTCCAAGCCCCTAAGAAAGTAAAATATAAGAATGTTTTTCTCTTATCAAGGCTGCGTGTAAGTTTTCTGAATGGATAATTGACTGAATAAGCTAGGTTGTTGAAAGCAAAAGTGACACGTAGTTATTTTCATGTTATTACAGAACTTAAAAAGATAGGATTAAATAGTTATTTATCCAAATATGATGCAGCAATCGATAGACTAACCTGTTAGCTCATGCAATGAACTTTAATTAACCACATATTGAGTGAATAGTGATGAAATGTGTAAGTCACCTACATTTTGTAGTACATGCTTAATAACTATTTTCTCTTTCATGATGGGGGTAATTTTGGTTCCCTAATCCTGCGCATCATAGAATAGCATCAGGATCCACTCTAGTGCACTGGATGCATTTTAAATTGAGGAAACAGCACCCATATAAGACTGATGCAAACACTCATGCAACGCATTTACTTTGTGGATGAACCCTCATTCAACATATTAAATCGATAGTGAGGTGGACAAATGAGGAGCAAGCACTTTTCTCACCTATGCCTATTATAGCAATAACAAATGTGATGACTCTCCTCACGTTGGTGAATAAAGCAATTCTAGGATTAACAGAGTTCATATATGTATAAGAAATGAAAATCACGCACTTTTTATTAGCTTTCATATTTGCAGATTTAATCAAATATGCACAATAGAGCATAGAGATCAAAATAGCTGATAGGTTCAACAATCAAAGAGCATTTGCCAGCAACGACCAATACAAAAGTTCTCTACAACACAAAACACACACACACAGAGGGTTCATTTTGGTGATCGAAAATACCAGGTAGGAGTTGCCTCAAACTGCAGTCTTGAAAATCCAGTGCCTGATAATTTACACTGAATTCCCTTTCTATGCTTTGTATGTGATCTTTTAAAACATTATAGGATAAAGGCCTGTTATGGGGAACCTGGTCCTGTCATCAAATAAGAATTTATTGAGCAGCTTGTTCAAACAATAAACACCAAACCAATTAAGTAAACTCCACATGTTTGAAAAGGAATTAAGAAAAATATATAAAAAGAAAAAGAAAATAATTTTTTTGCAGTAAGGTAAGATAAGTTGAGTTCCCATTTTATTTATTTATTTTTCACACACACAAATATTTGGACTATCTTGATTCATAGCTTGTGAGTTACTGAAAATTGTTACACCAGAAAAAACAATGAATGTTGAGAAATAAAAAATGTGCTATGAATCCTAAATTGAACAAAATACTTCAGAACCAAAAAAAAAAAAAAAATTGAAAATCATTAGCAGCTCAGCAGCATTCAAATGGAATGCTCGTAGAGAAAATTATTCGACATCTCTAATAGAAAATGACTAATAATATATAAATAAATAAATATAGAGAGAGAGACCTTGGATGCGTAGGACTTGGCTTCTGATAAAGCTCTCATCAGAGGTAGGACTGCAATGAGATGGTAAAACAATGTGAAATGGAAATATTAAATACTGGCGAAAAAAGCTAGGGTTTGAGAGTGAAGTGACAAAACCTTTGTGGTCCCGAAGGAGAGAGTCAGATAGACGAGGTTGGAGTCGGAGAAGGAGGTGGTGAATCTCCGATTGAAGGTTGGCGATTCCGGTGACGTCTTTGGCGATGTCATCGATGGTAGAGGTGCTTGAGCACTCGTACAAGAACTCTTTCTGGTCGCCGTCGCCACCGCCACCGCCACCGCCATGCTTCACCTGAATCCCAACCATCTCAGTCAAGTGCTCCTTCCGCTCAGCCAAAGCTACATGTCACGGCTCGCTAATTTGACAGAGGCTGTGACCCTTAGATAGGCGCCGAGCTGGATTATGGTAAATCGGGTCAAATTGAACTGAACTTTGCCATTTTATTTTGTTTTGATGAAATGGTTCGTTTCTGCCTTTAAAAGTTAAACAAATTGTTTATAATTTTTCGATTTCGCTTTGAGGTTGAATTAAATTGAATCGTGCAATTTGATTTGGTTTTGTGATAGAATGGTTCCGTTTCGATATTAAAATTTATATATATATATATATATATATATGAGGTTGAAAAAATTAAAAAGAAATGGTTTAATTTTAAATTGGGATGATTCGATTTTAATATTAAAAATTAAAATAAAATATTGATTACAGTTTTGTTTTGGTTTGAGGTTCAACAAATCCAAAGGTTAGTAATAATGCGTAGGAGGCAAAATTTGCATTCTACGGTTTTTTATATTTACAATCTCATTTAAAAGAAAATAGCATTTGTAATCTTAACTTGACAGGTCAATAATTATTATTTTTTAAATTGTTAAAATAAGTAATGATAATAATATATATATATATATATGTGTGTGTGTGTGTGTGGGTGGTATGAATGAATTAAAATTATATACATATACATGGTGTATATAATTTTAATTCATTCATACCACCCACACACATATATATATATAAGAGAAAATTGAAAAGAAGTGAACCAAACCAATTATTTACAATTTATTTTTATTATTATTTACAATTTATTTTTATTTGTTCAAACTGTTCAATTGAGTAATATTTCTCGAACTTTCAATTTAGGGGACATAGAAGAAGAAGAAGAAGAATTTTAGGTAATAGAAGAAGAAAAAAAAAATGAATGACATAACTTTAAAAAGAAAAGAATTAGAGCGTGATTGAATAAGGAATTTTTTTAAAGAAAATTAAAGGAACTTAAAAGAGAAAGAAGAAAATAAGAAAAAATTAAAGAGAATTTTAGAAACTAAAATAATTTGTGGAACATTTTAAACAAATTACCATATATATCATATACGTAAAAAAATAATAATAATAATAATAACTATAATAATATAATTGGCGGGGCCAAATTAGGGAAGGCATGTCCCCTTTGGTTATGAAGTGGCTCTACCCCTATCTCGAACCATTATGACCAATTTTCTAGTTCATTCTAATTAAACCATATAAATCACTTGAATCTTCTGCATAAAAGGTCCGTTCTAAAATTGAACCTTATACACAGCTAGAATCTTCTGCACTTATTTAGAGAATTATGAGTGTCTAAAGAATTCTAGACAATTGGAAACGTTGTATGGATATGTTGTTGGGATTTATATGCCCTGGCATAGCAAATTCCTGTTTGGATTAATTGACATATGTTCCTGACGTTTCTGAAATATTTATGTTTTATACAATTGGTGAATTCAATGTATTATGTTTCGATTCACTATGAAATTGATAGTGTCCATGTAATTACAAGAAATATTTATAGATATGTATGCGATGGCAATCAATGCATGATATATAAATAGTAATTATAAATTGTTCATAGTCGGTAATTTTGGATGGACTCATAATTAATTAAGATTTGAACTAGATCCGCGTTAGGTTGAGATAGATTGCGAGAGCCGTCGTATGCAATTGCTCCCTATCACCGTCATGGCATTTGACTCTTAAGCATGAGAAAAGTATAGACTCTTTTATTAATTAATAATTACTTTGATTTGTTCGGCGGATTCTTCGGGATCCTTAGACCGACACTTCGGGTAGTTATATAATTAATAGTTAGAGGGTTATATTTTCAATATTTGCATCATTGCTATTTGTATTTATTTTGTATTGATTATGGTTGATCACAAAGTAAATTCGAAGGCCTTCGTATGATTTTAGACAAAATGATTTATTATATATTTATTTATTAAATTATTATTTTTGTCAAACAAATGTTTTATTGTGATCGAGCCAGAAATAATCAAAGGTACCAAAATAAATATATTAATTAAGTAGTCGGATTGATGGCATTATTTATCCGATAACTAATTATGCATAGAGGGGTCAAAGTGCAACATTGACTTAGAGGTTATTTATTAATTGGAGTTCAATTAATTTCTTTTAGTGGAGTAGAAATTAATTTATGAATTAATTTAATTGGGTCCATGGACCGGGCCAATCATTAATTCATTGTAGCCAATAAAATAATAGGTCCAATGGATTCTCACTTATAGCCCAACTTGATATTGGAATCACATTAGATTTGAGACATGTGAATTAGAGATCGAGAAGGATTAGTTGTTTCCTTTTCTTTACCTTTATGTTGCCTATAAATATACATGGTCTATGTATATTTTAGGGGTGATTTTTATGAGGAGGAAAAATGAATAAATTTTCTCTCTCTAGAAAATTAGGGTTTATGTTCTCATCTAATGGAGGTTCCCACAAGCCTAGTTTTCCAAGGTCATTCATGGAGACTTATGAGTGATTCCTAAAAATAAAACAATTACCAAGAAGATGGAGATCCAAGGAGAAGGCATCTTGCTAAGGGATCTACAATAAGTGAGAACATTCACTTTAGAGGAAAGATTTAAAGGTTTACTCAGACCTTTTGATGTAAGTATTCAATCCATTAATTGAATGATACATCATGTTTTATTTTTGCATAAAACTCGTTTCTATGTAATGAATCAAGATCTATGAATTTAAATCCCTCGAAAAAATTTTAAAACTTGCACGTTTCCCAACATATGTTTCATTGAAAATTTGGAATTATAGATGCATAGAATATTTATGTAGAGAGAGGATGTGAGAATTGTACCCGTGGATTAAAAAAACTAGATGGGTATTATCTAGAGTGAGATTGCAGTTGTATATAGAGGCAAGACTTGCATTTCTAACATTGAAGTGCTAGAGCAAGTGAAGCATGTGTTGTAGTAAATGTGTCCAAGGTCCGCGTCCAAAAGGTGGAGGGGTGAGCTATTTCGATCTGTATCCGCAAAGTACTGAAGTGATACAAAATTATTATATAATGACTTGTGTTCAATGTGTCGCGTGAAAATTTAACCCACAATTATCAAAACAGTTCTCGTGTGAAATTGCTCATGTGGGATGTGGGTGAGTTTTTAATAAGTAAATTAATCAAGATGGTTACTTGAAATAATATTTACTTGAAGGGGTGATGAGATACCGCTAGCACGATTATGGTTGTTCTTTCCTTAGTTACTTAATTATTGTACAACTAAGTTATTACTTTGTAATACGAATGTGTTTAGCAATTTCGTGCTTGAAGGAGACTCCTGGTGGTATTGCAGATTAGCTTGTCTATGCATTCATTTGTTTTTAGTCTATGCATTCCTCCTGGTGGTATTGCAGATTAGCTTGTCTATGCATTCATTTGTTTTTAGTCTATGCATTCATTTGTTTGTTTTTAGTCTAGTATTTTCTATTGAGATATTTGTTGAAATTTATTTGGAAGATGTTGATTATTGTCACAGATGTATTGTTTAATAAAATGGTTAGATGGAGATTCATAGATTTATTTTGATTAAATGAAGTTGTTGAATTATGAGATTTTCTTATTAAAAGTTAATCATGGATGATTGTGGATGATTTATAAAAGTAATGTACCAAGTTTTAGTACTGAACAAGGTTTCTTGTGTTGAAGAATTTTGGGGCGTGACAGATTAGTATCAGAGCAAACTGTCATGTCCCAAATTTTAACACAAGAACCCTTTATCCAATTCTCAACAATCATTCACAATAAATAAATGGAGGTGAACCTCCATCTAACATTTTATTATATAAAAACTTCCGAGATACAATAACATCGTCTAAGTAAATGAACCGACTAAATACAGTTCCACAAAATAACATAATCCTTATTACAATGATCATAATAGAGAAAAGTTAAGCTAAAGCAAATAGAAGCACAATGAGCTAAAATCCATTGCTCTTATGTGATCCCATCACGTTCATACTCAACATGTGCTTGAAATGTGATAATGAGGTGAGCTCATAAGTTCAGCAAAAAATGCTTAACACAATTATCGTTCAGCAAGCTAACTTTACTTTATATTCCCATATATATATATATATATATAAGCAACTCAAATAAATGCATTAATCAAAGATACATAACTCCAGTTAATAAATATAAACTCAATAACCATCATATAACTTTTATTAAATCCACAAATCTCACATAAGTTCGGGGCTCCCCTCCAATAAAGTGGTGTGAATTGTATAGTCCTAGACTACCAAAAACACACGTGTGGTTGAGTTGTATGTCTACTTCCCAGATGATCTCGAACCACGTCCACACAATAAGGGCACATAAAGCCCAATGGTCATAATAATATGGTAGTGCACTCCCAAATAGACAGGTCTTAACCATACCCAAAAAGTAATCATAGGGTCAGTCCCTGACTACCCCTCCGGCTAATCCAAACTCATCCATTAATTATTAATTATGGTGAATTATGAAAGATATTATTAATTAATGATTCAAATTAATAAGTAATACACCCAAATACACTTTTAATTAAAAAAAACAGAACCTAAAGACCCAACTTGTCAGAGTACAGAAATTCTGGACACACTCTTATATTAGATATAAATCCCTAAAACATTTCGGAGTCAAACCTTTAATAGTTTTTCGTACTCTTCATTTAAGTGCTAAAAATTAATAGTTTTTCAAGTTTTAATTTAGTTTTTCGTACTCTCCATTTAAGCTTGTTTGCCTGGGGGATTTGATGCCCTTTGTATAGGTTGGGTTGCTGGATACGGGATCCTCGTAGTAGGCTGGACCAACATACACCCGAGAGAGGACAGTCTTTAGAAGCAACAGGTTGGCAAGAGAACGCTTCGCATTTTCTTATCTTATTCCCGCCCTAGGAATAGGAGTAGCACAAAAAGAGGGATTAGCATTATTTAACCCAATGAGAAACCACTAACACCTTCCTCGTCGGGGCTCCTAGCAATGGGAAAACACTAACGCGACGGGAAAACGGCCACTAGTTACAAAGCGCCCCAATAAGGTATCGAGAGGGCTATCACAGTCAGGTGCGAATCAATTTCCCCCTATTTGTAAACCATCTTCCTATTTAGGGAGTTGAGGCGAAAATGGCTTGATGAACCTTTCCGTACGCCACGCACCGGCCCCATTCACTTGCTTATCGTAGAGGCTGTAAACAGTGCCCCACAACTATTCATAGTATAGTGGGGTTGAAACACA